TTTTTTTTTTTCCATGAAGTCAGGTGTTTCTTTTCTTACACAAATTATGGAAAGTCTAATCTTTCAGAAAGACAAAGACGACTTAGACCATTAGAAAATATATAACCTTGCAACTTGACTTAAACTCAAAATCCACCTAAAAATGGCCTTGTTTTGTTTAAAGGGGGGGCTCCAAAGAAATGGAGATTGTGAAGCAGTCATGAAAAGTGGTTTCCATTATTATCACACTGATTCCAATCTTGGTTTTTAATATATCCGTATTTTCCCAGAGAGTTTAGGGCATTTCATATGCCCTAGCCCATCCTCCCCATTCAATGCTTTGTAGACCAGGCTGTAGTATCCTGCAATCTCAGTTAACAAACCCAAGACTCATGCAGAAAATAAGGCGAGCTGCACGGACGGGCAGTCACCAGTCTGCATCCCACAACCTCACCTCTGTTTCACAGCTTTACTCAGAACCCTTCAGAAAATAACACCCTGAGATGGGCTAGAACTCAGAGACCCGTTTCCTCTGTGTCCATTTACATTTAGGCTTAAAATCCAAAGCAGATTCTGGGCATTTGGGGTAGGGTGCCCTGATGTGTCCCAGAGTAACTTTTCTCTTCGAATTGGGAATGTGGTGCCCACTGGCCAGACGATGCAATTCTGGTATTTGCTGCCGTGTCTTTTGCCTGTGAAATTGCCTAAGAAAATGATACAGTTCCAGCTCTCAGATCTAGAATGAAATTCTGATTTAAAGTTGGGTATGACAATCCCCTGTTCTCATCATACTAGTAAAAGGCATCATCACAAACCTTGGGAAACAGCGTGGAAAGCAGAAGTTTTGAAAGTCAGTGGAATTTTGTCTTCTGAAGATTTCATTTTAAGTAATTTGAATAATTTCTAAGTTTTCCCTCTAAAGGAATAATACAGACTTTTAAAGCTCACACCAGTAATCCTAGTTACTCGGGAGGCTGAGGTGGGAGGAGCCGAGGAGTTTGAGGATATAGTGAGCTACGGCAAGGCTACTGCACTCCAAACCTCCAACCTCAGTGAGACCCTGTCTCACAAAAAAAGCTTTCAGAGCAATTATGGAGAAGGAGACACCTGACTCATCACAGCCATGACTTTTGATAGTTGTAATTACCAACTTTAGTGTGATATATGTTTCTAATCTAAAACATTACCTTGGTTTTTAGATGCATATATTCATTCCTTCATTTATTCAATAAATATTTACAGCGTTCCTACCCTACAGCGGGGGCTATTCCGGGTGCTGGAGATACGATGCTGAACAAACTGGGCAATATCCCTCCTGCCCTTACGGAGCTTACATCCTGGGGCAGGGGAAGAAACAGCAAACAAGAAATAAGAGGAATAAACCAGATAATTTCAGACAGTGATAAATGTTCTGAAAGAAATAAGACATTGTGATGCCCTGGTGACTTTTTCTAGAATGGTCAGTGACAGCTCTTTTGATGGGAATAATCAAAAGGGAAGTTCTGAGGAAACAGCATTTCTGGCGGAGGGAACTGCTAGTACAAAGGCCCCGAGGCGGGAATGAGCTGGTTGCATTCACGGAATAAAATGCGGGTAGTATGGTTGGAGTTGAGGCAGAAGGTAAGCGTTACTGTAAGATATGAGTCAGAGGGATAAGCAAGGCCAGGTAGGTGAGGGCCCTGTAGACCGCAGACAGTGGTTCTCAACCTTCCTAATGCTGCAGTGTATTTTCATTGTTAAAAAGGCATCGTGACCCACAGGTTGAGAACTGCTGCCCTAGGAGGATATTTAAATTTCATTCTAGGTGCTATAGGAATCCACTGGAGAATTTAAGAAGGGTAGTGATTTACCTGGATGGAGTTGTAACACACTCTTCTTAGTAAAGTGTCACAAGAATGGAAAAGCAAGTATCCAATGCACTCAGTACTAATAGGAAGCCAGTAGACAAACTAATCCATGTCCATACAAAAGAAAACCTCAATTCAATTTGTTGGGGGTGGGTATGGAAGGAGGGAGAATGGGTGCTCCCATTTACTGGGCACAATGTAAGGGTATATGGCACACCTCCTGGGCATAGGACACAACTACAGCACTCAATGTTTAATCTGTTTATATATGCATCTACACACACAGAGAGGGTGTCAAAATTGTATACATATTTTAAGAAAGGAAAAAACTGTACTCATAGTCATTAATATGGTAACAAGGACCTTACCTAACAATGCAGACAGCATAACCTAATTGTTTGTACCTTCATATTAATCTGAAATTTAAAAAAAAGAAGGGTAGTGATATATTTTCATCTCCCTCTTTCTCTCCCCTGCCCTCACACAGTGTGCCAAAAAACGTATATACATTTTAAGAAAGGAAAAAACTGTATGGAAATTGTCCTACTCAATATATACCAATAACAAAAGATAAATACAAGTCCTGCTGAGCACCTCTTGTAATTGCAGAAGTGAAATGTGACATGACAATGACCATATTAATACAGGTTTTTCCTTTCTTAAAATATGTACACGTTTTTTGGCACCCTCTCTGTGTGTGTATGCATATATAAACAGATTAACCATTGAGTGCTTTTTTTTTTCTTTTTCTGAGACAGAATCTCACTCTGTTGCCCAGGTTAGAGTGCCATGGTGTCTTAACTCACAGCCACCTCAAACTCCTGGGTTCAAGTGATCTTCCTGCCTCAGCCTCCTGAGTAGCTGGGAATGCAGGCACCCGGCTAATTTTTCTATTTTTAGTAGAGATAGAGTCTTTCTCTTGCTCAGACTGCTTGAACTCCTGAGCTGAAGGGATCCTCTTGCCTCAGCCTCCCAGAGTGTTAGGATTAAAAGTTTGAGCCACAGTGCCCAACTGAGTGTGTTTGTTTGTTAAGTCATCTTTATTGAAGAATGATTGACTAGTGAGGTGCTGATAACTGTTTAATAAACAGGTTTCAGGGGAGGAAAAAGTTGGGATTTGTAGTGTTTGCCAATTTCTGTGGTGTAAATACCTTCTCTATGGATGACATTAAGCTACCAAATGACATCTCTAAATGCAGAGTTGGGAAGAGATGTGCAAAATAGATTGTCACATGGTGGTGAAAGCAGTTCCAATGTACCACTGGGTATAGTTTATATGCTTATATTAAGATTCACCCTTTTTAGATATACAGGTCTATGAAATCTGATGAATATATACAGTTGTGTAAGGATTCATATTTGGAAGCATCTCTCCCTAGTGAGGAAGAATTTACTGACAGATGGGAAGAGATGCGTAGATTGCTTTGGTATTTTGGCAATTATAAGGTATTTTCTCTAAGTGAAATTTTCTCTCCTATGGGTCATGTTTTTGTTTCACATAATCCGATGGGGAAGTAATTAGGCATTTTGTTCCTAGTGGCCTGTGGTTTAGATTGTATCTTAAGAGAAAAAAATAATTCAGAAATAAATACAGTGCCCTTATAGGGCTCTATCATCTTTTCTGGTTATTATTTCCGCTTAGAGCCTGAAACAAATATTAATGAATGGATTACAATATGAACAATCCAGCCTTCGAGGACTGAGGGTCAACTACATATCTAATCTGAGGAAATTATGTTTTTAGTTAATCTAATATTTCCTTTCATTAGGGATAAATCCATTAGTCCAGGGAGTTATAAGCATCAGTTGTCACTTTGTAATACAAGTAGATGGCTCTGTTAACTTGGATTCTAAACCAGAACTTTTGTTACAACCTCTCTTACACTTCAAATATTGTTGAAATAGATACATCCAAAAAAGGAAGTGGATGTATAGAGATTTGAAAATGAACCATTCAAATACTGAGCATTAAAAAATAAGAGTTAACATTTATTGAGTGCTTAGCCCCCAACGTGCCCTTTCTAATACTTTGTTTAATCTTTACAATTACCATTTGAAGGAGGCACTTTTATTATCCCCATTTACAGACGAATGATCCCAATGTATCCATTTTAGCCATTATGAAGAGGAATAAGTAGGTTTCTTATTATGTCAAAATATGGCAGTTGGAGATTTAAGAAATATTTTTATTTCTTCTGAATCTGTCTCATTGGGGAAACCTTATACACATCTGGGGGAAATCTGTTAATTGTAAAAGACTTTCATAGAGATTCAAAGCTATTAGGGATTCATATATCTGGACCACAGACATGAACATTTTAAAAATTAGAAAACACCATGAGTGATAACTTGCTAAAAGAAGGTTTATTAACTAGAAAGAACTGACAACAGATTTGCAGTAGAGTTGTCAAACGAGTCGTGGTATTTGTATGTGTGTATGTGACGTTCTTCCAGACGAATGGGGAGATACTGCTATGAGTTGCTCAGTAAGAGAAAGTAACAGAAAGGCACAGACAGACATTTTTCTTAGATGTGCTCATTTTTCCAGATGGAGAGCTAATGCTTTTTCTTCTCAGAGTATATTTGGCATATGTTCCCTATTGTGTCTCAAATCAATTGCTTTGAGATTTCTCTTCCAGGGAGTGGAGCCTGGTGGTCAGTATTTTACTGCGTTGGTCTACCTCTTCCAGAACTTTCTTAACCACTATGGCTTTGGGTGAATCTGAAAATTAAAATTTAAAAGGAGAGCTTAGAGGGTTAAAAAAAGATCAATAAGGTAGTATGTGGATTAAAAGAATAATAGGATTTTATAAAGAATGAACTACACAGTAAACACAAATACTTAGGCTCATTCTTGGTGAACGTCTTATTACTTGGTTGGGTGAAAACATGGTAACATGTTATTTTGTTGAGAATTAGCGTAGCACTAAAATTGGGCGTCTAGCACCTACTGATACTGACTTCAAATCTTTATTATATCTGTTCATACTAAGCTATGGTAATATAAAACAATCAAGTTGTGCATTGAAAATGAAAGAGTCCAGCAAAGCAGAATTTCGTTGTAATCACCTTTGACTTGAGGACCCATGTTTCCAGATCCATAATCTTTAGACTTGAAACCTCCAGACTTACAAGCCCTGTGAAAATATCACAAAAGAGAGAAACAACCAAAAAAGCATGATTTTAGAGAGCGCCCCTTCACTTCTAGATTCACCATTAGATTTTCTTTACTTCCTTGGTGAGTTCGACTTTAGACAGGTGAAACTACCTAGCTTCAGCATTAAGAAGGGGTATTTTTAGTTTTCATGCCTTAAATACAAGGCCTATTGCATTTGGGTTTGGTATGATATTGCAAATTTGTATCTTGACTGTAGAGTGCAGTATTATGTTTAATATTCAGCATTCATGATGAAAGAAAACAGGCCATATTAGCATATGTTCACTTTTCAGGGATCTAAGTTGCCAGCAGATTTCAGTATATTATGCCTTCCCTATATAGTTTTATTTTATTTTCTTTTTGCAGATTTTGGCCAGGGCTGAGTTTGAACCCACCACCTCTGGTATATGGGGCTGGTGCCCCACTCCTTTGAGCCACAGGCACAACGCTCTATATAGTTATTTTTAACCTACCCATCATCTCCTCCTATGAGGAGGCAGTAGGTCTCGATTTCTTTTTCCAGGAGGACCTTGATGCCCAGGAGCTGCTCATACTCGAGTTTCTGGCTCTCGGTCTCGGTTCTGACCTGGTGCAGCTGCTCCTCCAGGGCCCCGAGCTGAGCCTGGATCTGCGCCAGCTGTGCACAGTAGTTGCTCTCGGTCTCGGTCAAGGAGCACTCCAGGGACTGTTTCTGTCAGGAAGCAACAGAGAGAACCTGAGCCAGACACACAGATACGCAGAAATTGATTTGTTCCAGGATTTCTCCTGTCCTTAACTTTACCCACAATCAACACATAGTTCAGATGACTCTATGGCACTGCTTAAAAAAATAAGCAAAACCTTTTTGGTCGAATAGATCCAAAGACATTGGTCTTGTTTCAGCTGTTATCCGTGCGATCCCAATCTTTCTTTACATTTTAAGATAAATATAAAAAGATGTGGACATATTTTTTTTTAACACAGCTAAGGTCTTTCAGACCAGGTGGCATGTATCTAAAATGATACTCTAGGAGAGGGTAAGAGATTGTCTTTTTCAAACCGTGGCTAAGAGAGACTGAAGTTCAATTTCCAGGGTTTGAAGGGTGCGCTTCATCTCCGTCAGCTCGTTCCGGGCTGAGGTTGTGGCTCCAACGTCCTCAGAGATCTGCTGTTGCAGAGAAGCACTCTGCAACAAGGAAGTGAGGCAGCAAATCTTAGTGCCGTCAGCGTCGCTGAAATGCAGAGGGCCGGTTTTCTGGGCGGGACTCACCTTTTCGTTGAACCAGGCCTCCGCGTCCCTGCGGTTCTGCTCCGCGAGGGCTTCGTACTCGGCTCGCATGTTGTTCAGCAGGACCGTGAGGTCCACCCCGGGGGCCGCGTTCATCTCCACGTTCACGTTGCCTCCCGCTGCGCACTGCAGAACTTGCATTTCCTAGAGGCAGAGAAGGGTTCAGCTCAGCTACGCAGGAGCCTCACGGAAAGTCTGAGAGCTTAGTTTTAGGGGAAAGGGGGTTCTTAGAGTTCCTCAGGCTCCCCGCTCCCAGGCTGTGCAGTGACCCTCTGCCCCCACACTTCATATTTCCCACCCAGTTGATTAACTCTCAAAGACGGCGAACTCACTACCTCTGAAAGCAGCCTGCTGCCTTCTGGAAGAGTTTGAATTGTTCTGGAGCTGTTTAGCACGATGAGCCTAACTCCTGGTGCTGCGGCTTCAACTCATCCGTGTCAGTTTGCTACCCAGAACAAGTCTTAATTGCTTTCCCAAATGAAAGTTTTAAAAATATGCAAAATTAATTATCCTCCATCTCTTATTCTGTTCATTCATAGTGCAAACGTCTCTGCTTTGCGGACTGATCTACTTTCCGCTGGAGGCCAGCTTTGACTTGTTCTCAATTCAGCTATATCCTGAGCGCAGACAGAATGGGCCTGGTTGAAGGGCTGAGTTTGAATAATTCTCAACAGTTGAACTGATTATAAAATATAAATGTATATGTATGTGTGTGTGTGTGAGAGAGAGAGAGAGAGTGTGTATGCTCCCTGGGAAGAACACCATCCTCTGTTTTTCAACTTTTTAAAATCTCACAGTACACTTGAACTTACAGTTAAACTTGCGTGGCACATGGTTGATTAAAAAAGAAAGTAAAAGAATATACTTACTGTACTTTGAACTTCTTTCACACATCATTTAATTAATGATCTTAAAAATTTCCCAGTCACACCTAAAATCCAGTCGTGACACCCAGGTTGAACACTCACTGCTATATGGTTCCTGTGTAAGCCTAGTAAAAAGCTGGGATTCTCCAGATCAGTGAGTTTCCAACCGTGTGCCACGACTGGATCTTAGGTGTGCCCGGAAAATCTTTAAAGATCATTAATTAAATTATTTTTGAAAGCAATTCAAAGCTCAGTAAGTATATATATTTTAATTTTCTTTTTTCATCAACGTAATTTAAAGTGTGCCATGGAAGCTTAACTCTAAGTTCAAGTGTGGGTGAGATAAAAAAGGTCGAAAAACATTGCTCTATAGGGGCATGTCAGACATTAGGATCTGACAGATCTCCGTGTGAATTTTGATTCTGCCGGGTAGTGGCTGTGTGAATTTGGAAAGTTGCTTAACCACTCTAAATTTTGATTTACTTATTTGAAAATTTAGCATAGTTCAAAATCCTTCTCTGAGTTGTTGGGAGAAGTGAAAAAACTAATAATAAAAAGATTTACTAATACTGCTTGGTTTATAAATGCTGGTGATTATAATTATTATCATCCTGGAAGCTGGAATCTATCTCACAGTCAGAGTCTATGCATGATTTTGCTTGGGCTGCGTGCTGTCAGAGCGCAATGCAGTCAGTCATTCCTGAGACTGAGAATGGCAGGCATCACTGCTAAGAGCTCATCAGTGAGAGTATCACAGATCAGCTTATGTCTCTGCTGCAGAAACTCTCCTCCCCAACCATAAATGGGTCTTACTGAGGGTTCCTAAGGCATTCTTTCTTTCCTGCAGCAAATATTCAGGCTCTCCTAGCATTTTTGCCTCCCTGGTGGACCCTACACCATCTACCTTCTCTAGCTCCAGATGGGGTTTTTAGTTGTGATGATTTAGTGAAACCTTCCCCAATTCAATAAGAAAAAGAGAAAGATAAAAAAAGATATATTTGGGCTTGCTGTGAAACATTAACAAAATCAAATGCATTCAGCAAAAAATTTTTGAACTACCATAGGCTCTAAGTGTACTTGAATCCATATAGCCCAATAAATGTTATTTGAGTAGTTTTAAGGCAGCCTGATGATGAATCAAGTAGCATTCTTAAGTTTGATCTTCTGCTTTAGGCATTTGGCTTGACTGTGGAAGTCTTTTGGCTGTTTAAAAATATCAAATTCCTTTTCAGGGGGCAAAGATTTGTTCCCTTTTAGAAAACAGAGGCTCTGAAAGCAATCCCAAGATGTCATGGTTTCATGATCCGATTTTTTTTTTTTTTTTTGAGACCAAGTCTCACTATGTCACCCTCAGTAGAGTGCTGTAGCATCAAAACTCACAAAAACCTCAAACTCTTGGGCTTAAGTGATTCTTTTGCCTTAGCTGCCCAGTAGCGAGGCACACATCACAACACCCAGCTGATTTTTTCTTTGTGTTGTTGTTGTTATTCTTGTCATTGTTGTTTAGTAGGCCCTGGCTGGGTTTGAATCCACCAGCCTGGGTGCATGTGGCTGGTGCTCTAACCACTGAGGTATGGGCACCAAGCCATGCATGAACCGATTTCAAACCTAGCTTCCAACAATGACCACTGTGGAAATCTATTATTTGCTGAGAAGTGTCAATTCTGGTATAACAGTTTGATCTCAGTCTCGTTATTTTTATAGCCATATCTATAAAGAATACATATTCGTGTTAAGTATGTCTATGGAACATATGTACAAAGCAAATGGTTTAGTGTTTTAAAATCTGCCACTGTTTGATAGAAATTTACATCTAGTTTTCTTAGAAGGTCTTTAAAGTATATTTATTTTATCTAATTAGATGTAATCTCCTAAGTGGACCATTTTAACTTTGCTATAATTACATAGCCAAACACTGCTCTTACAACCCTGATTGGTCTGGAAAACATGATTCCTTTTTTTTTTTTTCCCATGGGAAACTTGATGAGACAGCAAGAGTGAATCTGTACAAATAATCCGACTCTTATTAAGGCAACTCAGCCCTCCTGTCTGGCTTCGGCACCCACTTCTTGTTATCTCTTATCACACGGACAATGTCTGCAGAGTGATAGCAAAGACGATCACCTCTTACCTCTTTATGGTTCTTTTTGAGGTAAGTCATCTCCTCACTTAGGGTTTCATACTGAATCTCCAGGTCTGTTCTGCATAAGGTTATTTCATCCAAAACTCTGCGTAGCCCGTTGACATCGGCCTCCACACTCTGGTGAAGAGCCAGCTCGTTTTCATACCTTGAAGAACGTTAATGATTTTCTAATGTATCACAGAAATAGAGACATACTCACTAATGAGAAATGCTAGAATTCTAGAATTTGGAAGATTTGGCCGGAAGAGACATTTTCCAAGTTTGTTGTATAATAATCATGATGATTTTTGTTACATAAACATAATTTTTATGTGTTAGAAACTGACAAAAAATAGCTTGAGGCAAAGACGAAAAATTACCCAGTAAAGACTAAGGTCAATTCTGGCATTCTTGGGAGACGTTTACATTCTAAATGTTACAGTGAATACACTCTTGTTGGTATATAAGAGGGGAGCACATCAGAGGGCAGAATCTTTCAATGCCTCTATGTCTTCTAACTTGTCACCTTTGTTCTATACATGTTTGGCAACCAATAAGATATTTGACAGAAAAAGAAGTAGAGCACGGGGTGCTTGTTTTATAGCAGTTTACGCTGAATAGCCAAAGTTTAAAAAAGGAATAACATTTCTTTATGTTAAACCTAAGTGTTTTACAGTTTTGGAATGAGTTGATAGTATACAATGGAGGCGTTAAAAATATATTTGATTTACTGCTTTGCCCCCCGTCACCATGAATCCTTTTCAGTCTGGAAGTCTACTTACTTGAGTCTGAAATCGTCTGCTGTGAGCCGGGCGTTATCGATCTGCAGGACAACATTAGCATTGCTGGTGGTGGAAACAACGATCTAGAAAGAAGGAGTTTGACTTTTTAAAGGCTAGCGATTGCAACCAGTAAAAAACAGAAAGTGATTTTCTTTTAGGTTAGGACGTGAAAATAATCCAAATGAACATGATCACTACATACTGACATTTTAATCATGAGGTTAACCAACTGAATCTATTGAATGCTTCTATCCAGTGCTACATTGCAATTCCCTTTAAGAAATCAACAAGAATGACAAATGCTTCTAGAACTTGGTAAAGAAAAAGAAAATTTATAAATGAAGTACATAAAAAAACCTGCGGAGTATAATTGCTTACCTGATTTTTAAGATCATCGATTATTGGGAAATATCTACTATAGTCATGATCGAGGCCACGGCAGGAGCCAGGTCCGAATTGCTCATACCAGCCCTTGATTTTCTGCTCCAGGTCTGCGTTGGCCTCCTCCAGAGCGCGCACATTGTCCAGGTAGGACGCTAGGCGGTCGTTGAGGTTCTGCATGGTCACCTTCTCATTGCCCGAGAGGAGGCCCCCCTCGTTCACGGTAAAGCCAGCATAGAGATTGCCGCCCCCTGCATTTCCTCCAGATGTGCTGCTGCCGCCAAAGGCACAAGAGAAGCCACTTCCGATCCCAGGAATGCCACAAGCATTTCCAGCCCCAAAGCTGGCTCCCCCACCGGAGAGCCTGAGGGATCCAGTGGTGGGACGGGGACAGGACCTCCTGGATCCACTGGGAAGTCGGAGAGACATGGTGGCAGGGCAAGTCCGTTGCAGAACCTTATTGGGGACAGCCAGAACGGAGTGCCTTGTTGACTGTTCTGTGTGCCTTTTTATAGTCAATTTCCAAGCATGTTCCGGATGAAATTCTGCCTACACAGAGTAAAGCACGGCTTGCCAGCCTCAGCAAGTTAGTATAATTGGGTGATTTTTCCTAATGAGTAACTAACTTTGCTGGGCTCATTCCTGTAGGAAGGTAGTTGCCCTCAGGTTGGTGGTTATCTGAGAAATGGGTCTGGGCGGAGCACAGTTAGGTTCATTACCCCATGTTAAAATTTCAAGTGAGTCATCCTTCACTTCCACCCTTAGCAGATAAACCTCATTCGTCCACAACCAGATAAAAATGTGCCATCCTAGTTTTGGGGTATGATGCCAAAGCAGGTTGCCATGTTTCTGAGACTTCTTCTGCTTTTATCTTCACAATTCTTTCCACATAACTAGAACTCTAAGCCTTCTTTTCTCAACCTGAGTCTTCCATCACCCGGGTTTTCCTTTTTTAATGTTTCTCAATTTCTCTTGCCACTCTTTCCAACGAGAAGTTCACTTCCATTTTAGCTGACGTGCACATCACCGTTTGTTGACACTATGACTGGGGATAGTTGCCTTCTCTTATCCATTTTGGTAATTAGAAGCACAGTCCTGATGGCTGTTATGTTTTGTGGGAGTGTGGAAGGACATTAACGTACTTCCTGACCCTGCAACATGTGAAGCCAACCCTCAAGGAAAGATCTCATCTGTCTTTATGGCCTTGTGGTTTACTCGGGTGAAAGCCATCAGTAAGGCATTCACTGGGTGTTGACTCACATGTATCTCTTGAAAACCTTAGATAGTATGGACATTTAAAAACTGACAAATAAAAATTGTGTATATTTTTGGTGTACAATGTAATATTTTCACATAGGTATATGTTGTGGAATGCCTAAGTCAGGCTTATTAACATAGCCATTATTGAACATTTATTTTGTGATGAGAACATTTAAAACCTACTCTCTTAGCAATTTTTGTGTATCCAATGCACTGCTTTTAACGGTAGTCACCTTATGGTATGACAGATCTCCTGTCTAACTGAAATTTTATGTCTTTTGACCAACCTCTCCCCAGCACATGTCCCCCCGTAATTAGTGATGTTGTGCGTTGTTTCATAGACCCATTGGCCATTTGTATGTCTTCTTTGGAGGAGTGTCCTTTCCATCAGATAGTTTTCTTGTTATTGAGTTGTTGGAGCTTCTTGTATATTTTGGATATGAACAGGCTGGATCAGATGGTTAGTTCACATTATTCAACAAGTTCACCCGTGTTTCATTGAGCAAGTTCATTCATGTCACAAATGGCAGAATTTCCTTCTTTTTAATGGCCGACTAGTATTCCTCGGTGTATGTATACCACACTTTCATTATCTGTTCATCTGTTGATGGACGCTTGGGTTCACTCCCCATCTTGGCAATTGTGAATAATGCTGCAGTGGGCATGGGATGCAGGTATCTCTGATGTACTGATTTCATTCTTTTTTGGATCTGTATCCTCAGGAGTGGGATGACTCAGGGTCCTATGGTAGTTCCATTTTTAATTTTTTTGAGGAAACTCTCTACCGTTTACCATAATGGCTTTGCTAATTAACATTCCCACCAACGGTGTACAGTTGTTCTCTTTCTCCACATCCTCCCTAACACTCGTTATCTCTTATCTTTTTCATCACAGCCATCCTAACAGGTATGAGGTGATATCTCCATGTGGTTTTAATTTGTGTTTCACTGATGATTAGTAACGTTGAGCATTTTTTTTCATATATCTGTGGGCCATTTGTATGTATTCTTTTGAGAAATATTTTTAAAATTGGGTTACTTTTGTTGTTGTTGTTGAGTCGTTTAAGGTCCTTGTATGTTTTTGATAGTAAGCCTTTATCAGATGTCAGCTTCACAGTATTTTCACCCAATCTGTTGGTCAGCTCTTCACTCTGTTAGTTGTGTCCTTTGCTGTGCAGGAGACTTTTAGTTGAATGTAATCCAATTTGTCTATTTTTGCTATGGTTTTGAGGGTCATATAAAAAAAGTCTTGATTAATGACAACAAGTTTCCTGCCATGTTTTCTTGTAATAATTTTATGGTTTTAGATCTTATGCGTAAGTGTTTTATACATTTTTTTTACTTGGTATTTTTAAATTTACCTTTTTTAATGCTTGTAAACAGAACTTTTTTTTTTTCCTCACTGTGAGAGATCAAGATTCTGGCAGATTTGGTGTCTTGTGGGGTCTCTGCCTGGTTCATAGACAGCTGTCTTTTTGCTTTGTTCTCATCCAGCAGATGGCTGATTTATTTATTTATTTAACGAATGGTGCTTTGGGGGACTTCATACAAACTAAGAAGTAACTTAGGCTTTGAGTGTGATGTACTGTGAATAGTTTTTTTTCCTCCCAGATAGACTATTATAATCTAAGATAGATATTGATGTTTTAATGCTGTTTTACTAAAAAACATCAAGTCTAATACATTTTGAGTTGATTTTTGAATATGGGGTAAGATAAAGGTCCAAATTAATTCCTCTGCATGTGGCTATCTAGTTTTCCCAGCATCTTGTATTAAATAATTTCCTCTTTGCCCTTTCCTCTTCTTGGTACCTTTATTTAAACATCAATTTGACTATAAGTGCGTGGATTTAAATTTCTAGGCTGTCTGTGCTGGTCCATTGCTCTATATGTTGATTTTTGTGACACTCTCATGATGTTTTGATAACTATATACTTGTAGCAGATTTTGAGATCCCATCGTATGATGTCTCCTACTTTGTTCTTTGGTTCAGTATGGCTTTGGCAATCTTTTCAGGATCTTTGGTGGTTCCATGTGAATCTTAGAATTTATTTTTCTATTTATGTGAAACATATCACTGGAATTTTGATAGCGATTGCACTGAATCTGTGAATCATTTTGGATAGTATGGACATTTTAGTAATATTAATTATCCCAATCCACCAACATGGGATATCTTTCCATTTATTTAAGTCTTCTGTAATTTATTCATTTATGTTTTGTGGTTTCACTTATTTCTGTTGTGATCTTTGTTATTTCCTCTTTCTACTAATTTGGGGCTTAATGACTTCTTTTTCTCCAGTTCCTTGAGGTGTAATAGGTGGTTGTTTATTTGGGAATTTTCTTCTTTTTTTTTTAATGTAGTCATTTGATGCTATAAACTTCTCTCTTAGTACTGCTTTTGCTGAATTCTATAACTTCTATCTTCATTTGTCTCAGTATATTTTTGATTTCTTCTTTGACCCATTTTTTATTCAGGAGCATGTTGTTTAATTTTAATGTATCAGTGAACTTTCTAAAATTATTCCTGTTATTGATTTATAATTTCATACTATTGTGATCAGAAAAGATGCTCGATGTGATTTTAATCTGATTCTTCTAATTGGCCAATTTCAAATGACTTGCCTTTGAGTTTGTTAGTTTTTCCTTCTGGGTGATTGAGTTGGCTATTGAAACTCTCCTGATGTCTCTCCTGTTTTAAGAATTTTTAAAATGTGTAAACCTATGGATTATGTAGAAGTATGTACTTTAAATTTCTAAGTGTTTGGAGATTTTCCTATTGACTTTCTATTACCAATTTCTTGTTTTATTCCATTATGGCTAGAGAGAATATTCTGTAAAATTTCAATTCTTGTTAAGTGTTCAAGGTTTATTATTACCAAAGATATGGTCTGTGTTCCATTGGTGCAAGAGAATGTGTTTTCTGCCTTTGTTGAGCAGAGTGTTCTATAAATGTCAATTAGATTCTGTTGTTTAATGGTGTTGTCCAGTTCTTCTATTCATCCCTGCTGATTTTCTATCCAGTAGTCAACTTCTGAAAGTGGGGCATTGAAGTTCCCGATTATAATATTGGATTTGCCTATTTCTCTTTTCCACTTTATTAATTTTTGCTTCATGTATTTTGAAGCCTTGTTATTTGATCTATTTGGAGTTGCTATATCTTCTTAGAGGTCATTTTATTATTGTATAATATTGTGTTTTTTTTTTTTTGAGCCAGAGTCTCACTATGTTGCCTTTGGTAGAGTGCCATGGCATCACAGCTCACAGCAACCTCAAACTCTTGGGCTCAAGTGATTCTCTTGCCTCAGGCTCCCAAGGAGGATCCTGCCAGAGCATCCAGCTATTTTTTGGTTGTAGTCGTCATTGTTGTTTGGCAGGCCGGGGTATATGTGGCTGGTGCCCTAGCCGCTGAACTACAGGCACCGAACCTATTGTATAATATTGTTATTTGGTCCCAGTAATATTCACTGTTCTTTGCTTCAGAATCTACTTTGATATTAATTCACTCACTCCTGATTTTTTTGATTGAAGTTCACATGGTATATATTTTTCTATTCTTTTACTTTCAACCTATGTTGTTATGTTTGAAGTGATTTTTTTTTTATAGACAATGTGTAATTGGGTGTGTCCCAGGTAAACCCATGCAAACATGTACTAGATAACATGCAAGGAATATTTATAGTAGTAAGATTCATAATAATCCCAAACTGAAAACAATTCCATAGTAGAATGCATTCATTGTGGCAAATATTTTAATTGTTGACAATCTGGTAGTGTGTAATGGTATTTCATATGGTTTCAATTTGTATTTTTCTGGTTACTAATGGAGTTGAGCAGTTTTTATAAATTTATTGACGATTTGGACTTTTTCCAGAACATTATAAATATCATTCTACTGTTTTCTGGTTTCCATCTTTGCTGTTGAGAAGTCAGTCTGTATTCTCACACTTATTTGAAAGTAATTATTTCTCCCTAGATGGCTGAATTTAAGATCTTCTTCTCTTTTATGGTTTTACTATAATTTATCTATATGTGGATTTCTTTTTACCTTGTCTTTGGTTTTATATTTGGTGGTTTACAATTAAGGATTTTCAATGAAAAGCTTTTGAGATTTGTCAAGTACTGGTGAAAGTTTTTCCCTGTTTTTATTCTTAGGTTTTATTCTTACTAACTTTTTGGAAATAAGAGTGTCTAAACTTTCCAGCCTCATTTCAGGGAGTATGGTT